CTGGATTAGCTATTCTACTAAGACAACCTATAACATGCTAACTCGGACTTTTACACTAGGATTGCGTGGCTGACATCGGATGGACAAAAAAAGAAAAGAAAAAAGACAATAAAAGATATAGTCACTAGTATTCTTAACACTTCACCCTCTATATATACACCCTTCTAATAAACCGCTTCCCTTGTACCAACCTTGACTTCCCTTCCTTCATGTGAGCTTACTCCAACTTGTTAAACATCACTACTCGTTGTTCTTTATTAGTACATTCTCTAATATGGAGCCTCTGACTTCACTTCACTCTAACAAGACATAATATGAATTTATTCTAATTTATTATACCTCTGTCCGTTTTACTACACAATGTTAAGCAACCTTTGGCGTTCATATCCAAGTGCCTTGCTGCTCCTCTGTTTCTTTTTTTTTCTCCTTCAGAATCTTGCTCTGAGAGCACAACTATGAAACTTCTGACGTTTGGAGCAAACTTAACGTACGCGTCCTCTCAAGGTCATAGTTTACAGCAAGCGCTCTACGATTTCACTTTATAACAACTATAAACTTAATAAGTTGGGAAGCATTTTGCGAACCAACAAATATTGTAATTTATAGATCATGCCTGTAAAAACGGTGTGTACCTGCACATGCAGAAATATATTATTATTATTATTATTATTATTATTATTATTATTGTAAAAATTCGTGACCGAGATATTGGATACTGAATATCAGAATTGTTATTATGTTAAATCTGTAAAGGAAATAAAACACACCAGTTTGTAAACAGGCTAAAGATAGGGGAAGTACATCATAAAACAGATGCAGAATGAGAAATAATTTTAGCGTTTGATGAAACAATACTCGACAGTCGCAGCCCTCATCTTCATGGACTGTATTTTGCAAATCGACAAACAAATACAGTTGTGTTGGTGTTTAATCCCAGTAGCTTAGTAATTATAGATTATAAAATGGCATAATGCTTACAGTGATGTTGCACAAGATACTCCGTTGTACCTGGGAAACAAAGAAGAGAAGATTATGAGCTGCAATTATCATTTCTTCTTATCTCTCATATCTAGTAATAAACCATTATTTAAACTGTCAAGAAGTGTATAACGCCCTTTTCACTCACTGGTGAGGATATGCATTTTGATGTTAGGGGAGATGAAGAACACCAATTAAAACGACAATTCACTACATCTTATGCTTTTTTTAATGTAATCGGATGATAGTAAACCCCTTTCCGAATCTCCTGATTTTGAGGAAAGACCACAGACCAGTAAAGTCTGGGCAATCTCCTCAAATTCAGTGGAAGTCCCGAGGGAAAACCCGGACATCAACAGAACGCAGTTGTAGGAGCAAGGGTTCCTCACATAAGTAATTTTTCAAACGTTTTAAGGCGTACTCACAAAAAATGATATCGTTTTTCAATGTGACGGTACAAATAATCACATGTTCCAGCCGCATAGTTTTGGCCTTTATTTAATGTTTAATACTGTTGTGAGACAAAACACGTTCGTTTTGCTTCGTTATTGAGAAAAACTAGTGCTATCGAGGTGAGTTTTTATTCCTGTCATAATCGTCGACCATAATTTAGACCCAACCTATCTACGTTTAACTGTTAATTTTGGGCGAGTAATTCTGAACCTAGTAATAGACGTGTTGCAGTCAACAGAGTTCCAAACTTCACTAACACTTGATAGATGCACTTCACAGAAATTTTCTTCACCTATCATCATCCAACTACTGAATGTCACATCTTAATTTTCGCTTAGTGTTCTCTAAGTGAACTCATTAGTCTTAATGACTTTATAATACGATGCAAACGTTGTTATATTAACGGGCACTCTGTCTACAATCTACATAGTTTGAAGCATACTGTTAACGATGCAACTTAACAGGCTTGTTCAAAACCATGTTATGGTGTTATTGTACGCACTACTTTCCTTATTTCATTATTTTTAGCGTAATTCGAAAAAGTGCATTCTCGTATTGGACAAGGAATGGAAGTGAGTTGTAATCATTCTTAATAATATGCACGGCATCGTATAATTGTGGTAGGATGTTATCTTTCTTATGGGTATCAGGCAGCGAAGAAATTGGAAGCAACATTCACCGAAGCACTTGGTTACAGCTACGAGAGCGCACACAAAGATTACACGCTTCCGAATCAAACTGCTAGGTCAAATATATAATTTAATAGATACATGCAACAAATTTATCGTAAGAGCTTTTAAATGTCGAATGAAGTAAGAGTTGTGTACTTGTGAAGAACTTGTAACATTAACAGAGAAACCAGTTTAACTAATATAACGTCAAGAATATTAGCCTCCTTAATACCTCGTCACTTATTCAGAGCTCATGAAGTGCAAACCTGAGATAACCAGGTTGGTTTCAGAGCTGGATCTGGATGTACATATCGAATACTCACCAACTGTCAGATTCTGGAACATAGACATACTTCTTTATATCAGACTTGCGTTGTGTTCTTTGGCCGTAAATCAGCGTTCGACCTCGTTGATCTTTAGGTCCTGTGTGGCACCTGTCGTTGGACAGTGCGCCAGAGAAATTTAATAAGCTTGTATGGTTTTTTCGTGCCTTAAGGTAACCCTCGTGCTATTGATAGAAGAAACCAGAGAAGTAGTGAATAGGTCTTTATTTCGATCTTCGCGCAGTCACAGTGGAGCGTGGGATTATCTGTTCAGACGAACAAAGGCTCTCAACATTCAAGATAATAGGGAATATAACGCTTATGAAAAATAAGGAAGTGAATGAATACTTGAACAATACTGTTTTGGCATAAGCTTGGTTGTTTGGGGTCAACTCTTAACCAACCAACCTGAGGTGTTACATTAGCTTCCCCCTAGAATCGACTTCCGTAGGAACGTCGGTTCGATTAACCTATCTATCGAAAACACCTTAGTTCTATTTCTCATCCCAAGGGAAAATTATCAACTCGCTCACTATTTGACTTACAATCAGTGACGACTAACGCTGTCAACGATAGTCCATGGATGTCTCCTCATTTACTAGCTTGTCATCTTATTTTGTAGCATGTGATCTATTCTACAACTATCGCTGACGGTTTACTGCGTGCTTTCAAGAGAAAGAGTGTGAGAATGTGGAATAAGAATATCTGAGGAAGTGCCGCGAGCGGGCTACCCAACACCATGTTGGTGAGGTACGATTTTTCCATGCTCAGACCGGCTATCAGGTGTTTACTCACCTGCCTCTTTAGTCGCCCTCAAGTAAAAAGTAAAGAAGAATCTACTTCAAAGGTAATGGTGAAAACCAATCACACCTGAAGAACTGCTCCACTGCCTGCATAAAAATAATAAGATACAAAATGGAAATACAAAAATATAATTTATAATTGTTCGGTTCCACGTGAGTGATTGGCCTCCAGAAAGGATTGGTATTCTGGAAGAAAATAGACATAGTGTAGCCATCTTATGTACGAAAGGTATGAACACAAAAAAAAACTTTTTCATAATGCATATATGTAAAAGTGTAAACTTGCTAGAAGTTGGACTCATTGTCAAACCCGATCAAATGTATGACCTTGGGCCTATGACGACCGCCTTTTATAACCAGGTACGTAACCAAGGGTGCATAGTTGTACTCCACAAAACGGAAAAGAATATACGGTTAAGGAGGAGAAAAAATTGTGTAGATTATGAGGATTAAGTACAATTGTGTCAAATACTCTTTTCTGGTTTGATCTAAGTATGTATGATATATTGAAGCAATACTTCGTCAATTCATCCAAGTAACGAATTTGTCTGCACCTTAGGAATGTGTAAGTCCTATTACTCATTAGTATTATATGCGATTAATCGGTAAAAGGAAAGATTGCAGTCATTCGCCCGTGGTTTGATGTGGTCTAATGGCTAGGCACACGGTCTAGCATCCAGGAGGGCAGAGGTTCGAATGCGTGTGGGGCTAGCGTTTTCGTCCACCAAAACCCCCTTCAATACGATGTTTGTTGGCCATATGTTGCTCAGATATGAGAGAAAGATAACAGGAGGACGGATTGATATGTCAAAGTGCCATATTGGAATAGTACAAGTTCTTTGTTTTTATTAATAATAATGCTATAGAAAAAAAACTACAAGTGTGGTAGATTTCCATTTTACGTTATAATTAAACCAACGAGAGAAAAAAAGGTATATATATATATAAGTTATTGACATGACATGTTTTTTTATAACGCTAGTGTTAAGTTCCAGGATTTTGTATGGACCACTAATAATAATTGGTTTAACGTTAGCATAGCTGTGATATTCATATTAGTTCAATGTTGTGATTACTTAACAGTTCCCTTATAAGTTGTGTTTAAAATTAGGTATGTGGAATCAATTCGGCTAACATAGTAACCTTACAGTAACGCACTGTACTATATCTTCACGGTTATTGATTCTTAAATGTCAGAAATTTAAAAAAAATTTGAATATTGCCAATAATGATGGGTTATATGATCACACTAAAAAGCATGCTGTAGGGAAAACTGGTTAAGTCATTATGTAAGTTTCCTAAACATGAATAAAAATGATGAGAACTTTATTAAGTATTTGACCATAGTTTAATCCAAAATGTTTTGTCTAGAAAACCACTTATTAATAGTAGTATTAAGCGTATCAAGCTACTAAACACATCTTCGATCGAAAACTTTTAGAAGTAGTTCATATGGTATATATGTATAGCCAGTCTACGTGAAAAATGTATATAGATATATAAGAAGTACAGCCAACATAGTTAATTAACCAGAAAAAGAAATTATAAAACTCGCCTGGGTTGCTTTTTGAATTCGTTGTATTTGCCAGTGTTAGTTGTATGAGTTTGATTAAAATCCGCAGCCATCGTTTCGGAATACCTAGCTTATGTGTCCAGTATTTAAAAAAAATTTAACATAACACTTATATATCAAAGGCAAAAGGTCTGGGGAGTTGTAGGTGAGGCGGAATGAGGAGAAAAGTTATTTTTAAGTAGATGAAGGGTCTGATTAGCTACGTGGTTAGATTTAATCCTGCAGCTGAAACTGTCAACATCCTTGATTGGCTAATCGGATGTGCCCAGCGAACCGTTTTAGTCATTTGTAAAGATTTATCGTTTTTGCATTTCGATTCCGTAATGGATTTGTCAGTTAAACGATCTAACAACACGTATGGTGGTTCATGATCTAGATAAGCCGGCTTTAGCCTATCAATACTTACTGTGTCGATGTTTCCATGTTTTTCTATCACGAAATATTTAGATTTTCTTGAGACGACTTTGAAAGGGCCTTCAAATGGAGGGCTAAGTGGTGCTTTTATTTTGTCACATCTTATCCAGACGTGCGTGCAATTGCTTAGGTCTTTAGGTACATATACGGCACGCGATTGTTCGCGAGTATTAATTGGCTTAAGTTTGGACATATGGTCCCGTAGTTGATCTACGTAGTTTCCTAAATTAAGTTTTTGACTGTTAGTATTGGGGTTAATAAATTCACCTGGTAGTCTCAGAGTTGTTCCGAAAACCAGTTCCGCAGCTGAACACTGTGCGTCAGTTTTGACAGATGTTCGTATTCCCAACATAACTAATGGTAGGAATTCTGTCCACTGATTGGGGTTTGAGTGAGATATAAGGGCGGTTTTTAGCTGACGGTGAAAACGTTCTACCATCCCATTAGCCTGAGGATGATATGCAGTGCAGCGTATCCTATTGGAGCCTAGAAGTTTAGCCAAGTTATTAAATAGTTCGGATTCGAATTGCGCTCCTCTATCCGTCGTTATTGTTATGGGTGTACCGAAAATGGTTACCCAGTTCTGCATGAAAACTTTGGCTACTGTTTCCGCTGTGATGTCCGCTATCGGGATGGCTATAGGGAATCTGGTAAATCGATCTATGCATGTAAAAAGATAATTAAAACCGTTTGAACGAGGTAAAGGACCTACCAAGTCGATATGCACATGGGCAAAACGTGCATCTGGTTGCGAGAAAACACCTATGGGTGAATTTGTGTGACGATTAATCTTTGATTGTTGACATGCTGAACACTCTCTAACCCATTTGTGTACATCCTTCTGTAAATTCGGCCATATATATCTGGCATTGATTAGTTTTGTTGAAGCTTTCGCGCCAGGATGAGACAAAGAATGAAAGTTATTATATATCAACTTTCGCATATTTTTGGGAACGAAAGGTCGCGGCATTGCCTTGGTCGTGTCACAATAAATTAGAATACCATCGATAGGTGATGGGAACTGTTTTAAATTAAGACTTGAATTGTTTGTTTTAAGTAGGTTTTGCAATTCTAGGTCCTGCTCTTGTTCGTGTCTTAACGTCTCGAAGTTTACTGTAGACTGCTGTAGCACGTTCATTTCTAGTCTGGATAAAGCATCTGCCGCCTGATTGTCCTGACCTTTGACATGTCGGATATCGCTTGTGAACTGTGATATACAGTCAAGGTGTCGGACTTCTCGAGGTGAGTATTTATCGGCTCTCGCTTTTAATGCATTCGTCAGTGGTTTATGATCCGTAAAGACTATAAATTCCCTACCTTCTAACATGTGTCGGAAGTGTTTAATGGTCAGGTAGATTGCAAGAAGTTCTCGCCCGAAGGTAGAATACCTTGTTTCGGCTGAAGCGAGTCTTTTCGAGAAGAAAGCAATTGGTTTCGTCCCTATTAGAATATGAACCATGACACATAGAAGCATCAGAAGGCACTTGCCTTGATTGAGGGGATCCATCCTTTTGTTCATCTCTTTTAACATCCACGAGCCTTGGACTTAATTTCCTACGACGATTGTTTGGCATCGCAAGCGAACGACCAGATATTCCCAGAGACGATGAGTGGAATCAACGAAACGAAAGCCAAACGAATTCGACCAAATATTTGTTTAGAACTGTAAGATCCAAACTACGTTTGGACTGCTGGACAGCTGTCTGGGTGAGTTAGATACGCGCCCTCGCCCAATTGAAACCAAAACAAAGTAATTGGGTAAGATAGCGGTTCTATAATTTATCATAAATTTAAGTGTACATTATTACCTAAACAAATATAACCACTCAGCTATCCAACCAATAATTGTTCAATTGATCAAATCTAAATTACAAATCAACGTTATTCTATCCTGGCTGGATAGATCACACACAACAGGAGGAACAAATCAATATGGCTACCGCCAAGAACAAGTGTCAAGTAAAACAACACAGATGCAGTTCAGGAAGAAACACAAACTTAGTGAATGCGTAAGAAAAACAAAAACCATAATAAAAAATACAAGTATTAACAACTCAAATGTAATCAAAATACAACAATGTACAACTAAGGGGATCAATAGGAACAAAGTACAAGTATATACATGGAGGGATTTTCACCAACACAAAACCTTCAAAATGGATCTTACACCTGGTATGAATCTGCGATAAAAGTTAATTAGGCCTAGAAAACTTCTCAGTTGTGTTAGAGAACTAGGTACGGGGTATTGTTTGATAGTATCCACTTCTTTTTTTATAGGTTTAATCCCTTCTGGGCTTATTGTGTGACCGAGAAATTCTAAAGTTTGAACACCGAAAACACACTTACTTTGATGTATGTTTATTCCATGTTCATCCAGTCTTTTCAACACTGCTTGTACATGCTGTTCGTGTGATTGCAAATCGGGGCTGGCAATTAACAAGTCGTCTATATACCCCTGCGCAAATGGCATATCTCGAAGTAGGTTATCTATGAATCTTTGAAATGTCTGTGCCGCATTTCTCAGGCCGAATGGCATGCGTACAAACTCGAATAAGCCAAAGGTTGTAGTAATAGCTGTCTTGGGAATATCTTCATCAGCCACCGGGATATTGTGATATGCCCTGACTAAGTCAATTTTAGTGAATATGTTCATACCCTGTAAACCGTTGGTGAAATCTTGGATATGAGGTATTGGGTACCTATCAGGTACGGTTTGACGGTTTAGGGCTCTGTAATCCCCGCACGGTCGCCAGTCACCTTCATTCTTCTTTGGGACCATATGCAAAGGGGATGCCCATTGACTATCAGAGGGACGTATGATACCCAATTGTAGCATATAATCAAACTCGGCCCTAGCGATTTTGAGCTTATCTGGTGCTAGTCTCCTGGGTTTTGCAAACACCGGTGCACCTTCGGTTTTGATAGTGTGACTCACTTTTAGTTTGTCTTTAGAAGGCTGTGGGTTTGGTTTAGTTAAGTTTGGAAATTCCGCGAGTATATCTTGGAATTTCGCTGTTGTTACTGGGGGAGTTTGAATCAAGTTAAGAGAGTTGATGTGACTTTCTTCGCCTTCTGTGTAATACGAAGTTTCTTTTAGTGTTAATCGCCGTTTCTTGGTGTCAACTAGAAATTCGTATCTCTCTAGAAAGTCCATCCCCTGTATTGCCAGATCTAGGTCGGCTACCGTGAAAACCCAAGGGAATCGCCTCCTGAACCCCAAATCTAGGGTTAAAGTTTTCTGCCCAAATGTCGCAATTTTAGTTTTATTTGCAGCTTGAAGTGTAATTGATGATGTTTCTCGACTAATCTCAGTTTTATGTTGAGGGATGATGCTAAGAGCAGCGCCAGTATCCACCAAGAAATTCAAGCCAGAGTTTCTGTCTCTAACATAAAACAAGCGACTGTTTAGGCGCCCCTCCTCAGTCGTCGCGACCTGGGGAGGGGTTACTCGTTTCCCGCTGTCTTAGAATTATGCTTAGGCCAGGCGCATGGTTGCATGCACTTGGTTGAGTTGACACCAAACTTCCAGTGGTACCAACAAAACTGCCCAGATTGTCTGGACATTTGTGACCTGTTTTGTGACTTGGATCGTGGCCGTTGTGGTGACCTGCTCCTGTTTCTATGACCCATTTGCATTCTGGTGACAGCCTCAGTGAGACTCTTAACACTCGCAATGAGTCCTTCTATTACGGGGTCTTTTGCTGATTCTACTTTTTGTGTGTGATTTATTGTGCCTGATCCAGTTGGAGGACCTCTTTCCATTATTCTGTCGGCTATACGCGCTAAATGAGATAATGAGGTTTCAGGATCCTGTGCATCCAAACAGTGTTGGACGTAGCATGGGAGAGCTTATATCCATCCTTGTTTTAGGACTGCTTCACCCACTGTGTTATCACCCACTAAGACTTGGAGGTGACGTAAAAACTGTGACGGCGACCGATCACCTAGTGTTTCACCTTGAAAAAGTCTTTGGATTCTTTGACTATCTGATCATGATAAACGGTTCATTATCTCTCGTCTTAAGATGGTGTATGGTTGTGGTGATGGTGGACTTAAAATCAAGTCACGGACTTCTTTGGCGACTGAAGAAGGAAGGATAGAACACAAGTCTCTATAGCGAATCCCTTCAGATTTGATATTGTGTCTCGTGAAATAATGCTCTAGTTGAGCAAACCACAACTCAGGATCACTACGATCAAATTCTGGAAGTCGGGATTTCGTAGTCATAACAGTGTCTATCTCCACTGGTGACAAATCCTCCAGATTATGGGTTCCTATTGAGTCTGACATGAGGTATGTGACAAATATAGCAATAAAGTTAGCACAAAAAGTGGTTACTATAACACGAATAACTTAAGATAATACGGAATAAACTAGTTATATACTCAAATTAGTTTACGGATAATCAGGTCTACTTTTACGATTAAGTAAAAAAAATGTTAATAACAGAAATGAGGTTAAATTTGTGTTCAAAAAGGGCTCACCAGTTCCGTGCCTTAAGGTAACCCTCGTGCTATTGATAGAAGAAACCAGAGAAGTAGTGAATAGGTCTTTATTTCGATCTTCGCGCAGTCACAGTGGAGCGTGGGATTATCTGTTCAGACGAACAAAGGCTCTCAACATTCAAGATAATAGGGAATATAACGCTTATGAAAAATAAGGAAGTGAATGAATACTTGAACAATACTGTTTTGGCATAAGCTTGGTTGTTTGGGGTCAACTCTTAACCAACCAACCTGAGGTGTTACAGTTTCACTGCTCGAGTAATACTAATCAAGTCACAGCTCATGACGAACTGTCGTAGGAATCGTCTTCTTCAAGCTGTGTTTACCAGGGTTGACTTCTTTCCTATTTTTATCTAAGCTTGTCACAGATATACCCTAAAGATCATGCTTTCATAGTTTGACTTTTCAGGAATTCACCCTCAGCCTGGTGATTCGCTTGTTGACTTAGTATAGAAAAGTGATGTAGTTCTGTTTAAGAAGACTGAAAAAATACAGCTCTCAGTCATCTTAATATGAAATCCAAGCATATGCGGGATACCGTTTACTTCCTTCAAATGTAAAATGTTACTCCGGGATTGGCTGATTTAGTGATTAAGAGTGAAGTAGTTGAAGGCATCGACTGATGTCTGACGAACCATCAGCCCAAATTCAGAAGGTTTGATCTGGCTTTTCCAACTTGCGTTACTTATGGCACAGAAGAGATCTCTGCCTTTCAACCAAGGGGCGAATCTACCGTTCAATGGTTTGCTTCCTTCCACTCTACGGATATGGACCGCAGTCTTTAAGAGTGCAGGATATTTGTGGACTACCGATACTCGATCATAGGTGTTTAAGAACAGTGCAGATGTATTTCGGGACTATCGAGTAAGAATATGTATGAATTGGGGTAAGGAACTAGTTACAAATAGCAAATAGATTCTTGAGGTAGTAAATCTCCATCAAATGGGGTGGTCGGAACATGTGTTACGTGTGTCGAACTACCGCCTTCCTCGACAGGCGATGTCTTTTGGTGCGAGAGTAGACCGGGAAAACGCTAGAGACCAGGAAAATCGAACCATGTCAACAAATGTAGAGTACTTGGTTGGAGTCGACGTGATTATCAAGACCAATGGTTATGGACTCTGAATGAAATGGCCTAAGATCATTTGCACTGGAAAACTCATTTTTTTCTATCTTTAGCCAGTTTCTAGATGCCTCAGAACTTCTCTTTTATTTTTATTTCACTGATTTATATTTTCTTTTTGAGTCAAACCTTCGATGTCTAATCCGTTTTATTACCGCCGATACTGTTGCTACCACTAATACTCTGGGATTTGAACTGAAAACTTCTCTCTGTGCTATTAATGTATGGCAAACTGTACAGATGTACGTAGGTACAGATTCTCTATCCTCACTGATTGACTGACCACTGAAGATTGCTGAAGGTGTTCTAGTTGAGATTCCGACGGGCAACATTTTGAGTGGAGAGCCAACTGTAGCGGTGAATAAATTCCCAAAATAAATAGCTCTGTAAGTCTACAACATTGGATGCTGACCACACTAGTTTTAATGGACTCGACTAGCTGAAGGCGCTCGGTCATGCATCCGCACCAGATCACCAGTGGGAACGCCGTGCTCAACAACCCAGACGATATCAGTCAACACCCTGAATCATAGTCTACTACTTGGATGTATATACAGAGCTCCTGATAGTCAGAATAGTGGGGATGATCTTATTATCAAGGCATTCATACATGCATCCCCTCTAAACTTAATGCTAAGGTTATCACTGGGGATTTCAATTATCCTGGGATCAACTGGAGTACCGGTAGTTGTCAGTCAT